CGAAGACGTAACAATACTAAATTCCCTTTAAGCTTTTTTGCTATACTAACAAAGACAGTTGGAGTATACTGTGCAATGATTAGAAAAACTAGATACCTTTGAAGACACCATGAACAAACTCAAACATGTTACTTCAGATGTATGTAAAATGAAAAACATGACTAAAATACTTAGGAATGTATATTTTTCTTTATCAAGAACAAAATACTGATGTAAATCTCATCTCCTCCATGTAGCAATTAAACAGATGATTCTCTTCTTGAGTGAGTGAGAAGATTTTTGTAATTATTTTTAATTGTGAAATACGCTTTTCAAAACTATATATTTTTGTACTGGAATTTTATACATAATCCTGGAATAAAGTTCCTTGGGCTTGGCTATTGAGGTAAAAGTGAGAACAACAATTAAAGTTATGAATTATTTGTAAAGTAATAAAATAATAACAACTACAAATCACAGTATCATAACAGTTTAATAGTTCAATATGTTTTGATTGCAATATATACATAAACCCTTAGGTAGCCAATGAAGAAAGCTATTACTAATGCTAAAGGATTTTGTTTGTTGTTAAGCTTAAATCTATACAATGGCTGAACATGACTATCGAAATCCAGTTTTTAGCAGTGTGAGCCATATTATTTACAGATAAGCCATTGGGAGGTGTGCTAAAGTGAAAACACACTTATACACTAAATTATTAAAGATAAAGGAGAAAAAAATGTTTTATTTAGCTAAATTTATGGATCAGTATTAAAACAATATTCATGCTTCAATTACCATTAAATAAATGCAGAACAAAATTGTTAACTTACCTGGAGAAAGCAAAACCAAAGCAGAAAACAAAGCTAGCTCTGTATCTGTCAGTTTATGTTCTGCTACACTCTTTGCAAATTCAAAACTGCTTGTGACAAGTTTCATTTCTGTTGTATCTATGTCAAAAAAAAAAAGACACATTTTTGTAACATTTTCAAGACTGATAATGTTGCAGTCAACAAAATTTATGGCAAGTAATAAATATAATTCCTTTCAAGAATATGTTCAAGTAGATATTCACAAACCCTTAGCTTTTTTAAAATGTTGTAATAAATATTCACAGATGAATAACTTTTATCCAGATAAAGTATAGCTATTGGTTTTAGAGAGGTAAGATATCTGATGACAACTGAATTATATTTAAGCCAAAAACAAGAATTATCAACAGAATGATAATATACTGTTATGTCACATATCCAGGTTCAGACATAATTAAAAGAAAAGTTAGAAGTTTATGATTTGTTATTCACTCACCCGATGTCATGAAAGCTTCAAAGGATAAAAGATTCTCTCCATATAAAACAGAACCCGTGCTTAAGTCAAAGTACCGACTCATCCGCAACAAAACCAGTTCAAAACTTCCTATGGAAAAAACAAAGCCATTGTTAGCTGCTATATAACTTTATTTGTTTTAGGTCTTTGATTCAATAAACAAAGCGTTGAATACTGCTTGGGCTATTTTCAATATATGAGAGATACTCCTATATACTAATTATTCAGCAAAGTGCAGTAATGACATACCATAAAAAAGTAGACTATTATTATCATGTATGGTAAAAATAACTAATTATCTTACCAGCTTTCAATAATACAATCTGGTCATCTTGTGACAATTTCATAAAACCTGGAACCATCTTGGCGAACTCTATTATTTGCTGGACAATTGCTGTAAGTTTTTGTGCACAGTCCAGCCAAAGTTCATCTTGTGTCTGGAAAATGAAAATGGTTTTAAGAAATCATTTGATTATTCTATACATTCATGATACTAAAATGGTTTTATTAACAACAGAAGACTAGTATATAACAACAACAAATTGTATTACTTGGTAGATAATGTATATCATTTCAAAATATTCTTGAGAATACTTCCTTAAACAAGTAATTGGGTGAGATTTAAACTTTTTATTATTTCTCTATATGTAATCAAAAGGGAATCTTCAATAGCCATGGCACTTGAAATTCTTTTTGGCAAGATTAGAGTAAATTAATGTATGAAACATTTGTTTTTTCCTTTCTATTAGCTATATCTTTGTGTGCCAGCAATACCAAGCATGGGGCATGCATATACCCAATTCAATTTTATTACTCATCAGGATCTCTACCAGCCTACCCTCAAATTGAAATTCTTTTAAGCAAAATTAGAGTAAATTTATATACGAGACCTTGAGCGTGGTCATATATATCACTCGAAAGGGTTTGACCTTCTGAGTCCAAAACTGTAATTAAATCTCAGATCGGTCAAGAGATGACAGAGCTATAAGCTAAATGTTTGCTCTTTAAAAAAAAAAGAAAATAAAAACTTGGAGCCATTCTATGAGCTGCTGTGCCAAGGCAAAAAATAGACATTAATAAGGAATAAATAAAACTAATTACTCATACTTCAATGGGTAAAATATATTTTATTTCAACTCAACTTTCTTTCTAGTGTTATGTAAGTGGATTTCTGTCTAGTCAAACAACCCAATTCTGCATATAATAATCATTCTCAAGATATATTGTGTTACCAAAATATTTCTGAGTTCTTAGGATGCAAAGTTCTTTTTCTATAAAGAACTTGCAAAACTACAAGTTCATTTTGCCACTTTCTACCATTATCTTGCATACTTGATCACTGATTGTAAATTGGCACTTAGAGATTTCATAAGTGCACAATATGATTTATCTAAACGATGGTAGTTTATAAATATTTAAACTTCATTTATGAAGAAAATGTCAAAATACAAAGAAAAAGGAAGAACTTGCCATGTTTTTATAATACAAAAGGAGAGAGACATCTTGGGGCTTTCTCACAAGGTCTATAATCTGGTCTGTTGTATACAAACAAGTACGACTGTGTGCCTCAGAGACAGTCTTTGCTAACAACTCTGTAATAGAATGAATGAGAATTTTTTTATGACACTCATATTTCATCTTACTAACAAACATGTTGAAACTATAGTTATGACAGACTTGTGCACATGTAAAAGTAAAACATAAAATCAATATTTTTTTTATACACAATAAAACTATTTGGCCATCAGTTACAACTCTACATGTTTTCACAGTTTCACACTGCCATCAATGGTCAATCTTGATGATGGCAGTGTGAAACAAATAAGAGTTGTAGCTGAATGGCTTATATAACCAAGTAACTTTTTTATTGTGTGTGCATTAAAAAATGTTGTTTTTATGCTTTTGCTTTTGACAGTTACATTGTTTTTTTAATAGTGTCTGGTTAAACATGTGGATAACGTTTTTTACTACATGTTGTTTTTATGCTTTTGCTTTTGACAGTTACATTGTTTTTTTAATAGTGTCTGGTTAAACATGTGGATAACGTTTTTTACTACATTTTATTAAATTTTGTCAGAAAAGTGTATTTAACAGAGGAGCGAATTTATTTGATTTTCATGTGATGATTGCTATTTGAAATAGCAACACAAATACTTACTTTGTCTTGAAGAACAGTAAATATTACCTTTATTCTGGGTGATTCAGAAGTCCAATTGACAGGCAAATAATTCATAAAAGGAGAGGTGTAGGAAAATGGTCATTTATGTTATGGAATGAAGTGTTGTGTACCTACCTTGTGTCAATATCACTGAGCTCATTCAAAGTCATGTCCTTTTCAACTTGTATTATTGGGCATTGTACACTAAATATGTTAGTTGCAAAGGTGTAGACAAGAACAAATGAAACATTTAAATCATAAATTACCCAAACTGCTCCACAAGAACAAGAGTTATAGGCATAAGTATAGATAGGTAAACATCCTTACGGTATTACTACATGGTGGCAGACAATCAGTAGCTGAATTCAAAGTGCTACCTGAATGCAAAAACACCAAAACAATAGTTTCATTGTCAGTATTTGTTGCTGTTCTTTGTCTTTCTATATGGTGTCTACATAAAGAAGTCTGTAGTTTGCAGCCACTGACATTTTTCCTATCATCTGGTGTGAAGGATGACATTCATCTTAGAACTGTTTGGCATATAGTCTGGCAGCAGCCCAGGCATTCTGGTGATGTTCGCCACATATGTTAAACTGTTCTTCAACTTTATACTTGTGACACTCTTCCAATGATCTGGGAGCAGATGAAGCACTATATTTGTGTCCTACTTTATGTAGGGGACTTTAATGCTTCTAGACCTTCTGGATCCTTCAAAGGTACAATATTCTGCTTATTCAAAATCTTGACATTGCTCCTCAAACCTAGACTTGTGTAACAACTGTTACTACAGTAGGATTTTGATCTTCCTCAGAACAATTCCATAAGCATGGAAAGGTTGCATTTATGCCTAAAACTCTTGTTCTTGAGGAGCAATTTTGGCAATTTTTTGGTTTAAAATGTTTTATTTATTATTGGCTACACCTCTAATTTTGACATTTTGGGTGTATGTTGCAATTAAATACATTTTTCAAAGGATGTGACATTAATGATATTGTCATAGGGTAGGGCCACAACACCTCATTCCACATCACTAACAATTATTTTCCTGTATTCTCAATTTCTGAATTATTTCTCTGTCAATGGACTTATGAATCATCCTGTATACATTTGTGTGTGAGGATGGAAATACAATCTTTATTTTTCAATTTCATGCAAATAAAGTTGAAAATGATACCAATATTTTGCTATTGATGAACACTATATAGATAGATATAAGGTATGTATACTGATATATGTGAAGTAAACAAATATATAGTTTGAAAATGTTATATAGTCTATAGTCACATTTGGTATTCACACCAACATATAATGCTTTCATTTGTGAGAGCTGTTTTATAATCCAAACTTTTAAACTAGTACTGCACATGCTTTACACTGTCAGTTTCTGGTTATATGTTTATCCAATTAACATACAATTACATTAATTTTTAAAATATCTCATCTTAGGAGCTAAATTTTTTATAAAAGTGTCATCTCCCACAGGCTCTTTTATAATACAAATTTTCAAACATGTACTGCACATGCATTACACTGTCAGTTTCTGGTTATATATGGTTATATGTTTATCCAATTAACATATAATTACATTATTTTTCAAAATATCTCATCTTGGAAGCTAAATTTTCTGTAAAAGTGTCATCTCCCACAGGTTTATTTATGTACTGGATTACCTCATATTTTTATAATAATAATAATAAAAACAAAAACAATTACTAAATTAAAAGCTTTAAATCATTAGTTTTATTCACAGCTTCATTCACTGTCCACTGTATGAAAATGATACTTTATACTTTCTTTTTTGTTACTTCTGTGTTTTATCACACTTAAGTTTTTTTTTCTTTAGTTTTTTAAGAGATTGTGAACAAAATATCCTGTTATCTTCTTCACTTACTCAAATGAGAATTGTTTGATATTGTGGTTGAAGGGACTGTAATTGTAAGGAGACCATTAGTATCTGGTAAGGAAGTTTCCAACTGCTGTCGTTGGTCATATGTTGTACTGTCTACAAAATCTGTTCCAGACAAGTCAAACGTCATGGCTTGGGGAGTGTAGGCATAACCATTAGGTGTATAAGTACCGAGGTCTCCATTATAAGCATACCTATAAAATAACAGAAAGTGTTAGCACAAGCTGTTTCTCAGTGTGAAATAAGTTCAATTATTACATTTTAAAAGCATTTACATGTGGTACTAGTTTTTAAAAAATGTAGTTTTCAGATAATGATTAATTACTATGCCTATTAAAGTGTTCTGACTACCAACAAAATAAGTTATCAGCAGCCAATATCAATTTTGAGTACCAATTTCATACCTGAAGCTAATAAGAAATAAAGCTAAATGAAAGCTTTTCACATTATTTGTTTATTTCACTCTACCAGTAAAACCTCATTTGACATCTTTACTTTAAGTTTTCACATTTCACAGTAATATTTTCCAAAAACAATCTGTATATATATACACATATATAAAGCACACAAATCTGTGTGTCTCTCTGTTGCTGGGCCAATCTCAACCAAACTTTGTGGGATGATAATTTGTAACATTTGTGAGGGAGGGGGGGGGGGAGTTTGAGAGCACACAAATGTCTTATATATATATATCTTAGAGTGTGCTGGGAATTTCCATGGAGGAATGCAATTAGAAAAATGGCTGCCACTATTGCAATACTACATAAGTTCAGCTGAAGTTTCTAATCCAACAGCCACCATAAGACTTGTATAAAGAGCTGTTTCTCGAGATATATCCACTTCCTACTTTAACCCGTGACCTTTCAATTTCAGCCCACTTCTAGCCAATGACCATCAATTAAGTAATCATGTGGAACACTGTGGAAGGACAGTAACAGTTGGGTGTTGAAAGCACCCCTACCACCAATACTTTGGCTGCTACCTCTTCCTACAAAGTCACCCTGACCATCACACAGTGTATACCATGTTTTAAGTATATACATGTTATAGAGTTCTTAAACTTTATACAAAACTTTTGGAGAGGTAATAATGAATACTGTAGTAATATGTTACATTATAAATAAAGTGTGTGAAATTTAGGATTTTTGTGTGATTTATCATAGCATTTACCACTTGTATGATAATATTCTTCAATGTGTGCGTGTGTGTGTGTGCATTACAGGGTTATGTAAAGTTACTTAATTCATTCTGTTGCTTATAACTCCTAAACCATAACATTATGTTAGCAGTATTAATATGCACAAGGTCATTGGGAACGCCTTCATATAATATGCAGAATTTGCCACCTGGGACACCACTTATGCTATGTGCAGAGGCAGAACTAGTGCGGGGCAGATGCTCTGGGGCCTACGATGCCTGGTCTGGTCTAATTTTCTGAAAAAAAAGAGCTCTGATCATTTCTTTGACCTGGGGCCCCTGAACTCTTGTTCCACCACTGAATATGTGACATCACATCTGACATTATTTCCTCTGTATGTAAGGGCTGTCAGATACGTCAGTTTGACATAAACAAACAGAAAAAATTAAACAACTGGCAAAAAATTGCACAGGATATAATGCCAGAAAGATAGATATTGTGCAATGCACCCAAAAGGCATTGGATATCCTATATCTCCAATTACATTTTAAATGCAGATGAAAATTTTGTCATGAAAATACAACTGAATAACTTAAAGGGGTCAAAGCTGAGGTTCTAACCATGATGCTCCAGGTTGACTACCAATCACTATTCATGAGCAACTATGGGGTATGATAGTAACCATGAAGTTGAAAATTAGAATATAGCACTCAAACGTTATATAATTATATTGCAAAAAATTTAAAATTAACACTATATTACCCTCTTTTACAGTATGATGAAATGCAATAAAATAACCCAACCACACTCTTACCAAATACACACACACACACACACTGCATTACTTTGAAGTTTACTTTTCTTAATTATGCAATTCTATGAAAGTATTAGGTCGTCAAGAACTTAATGTCACTTTTTTAGATGAAAAAACCCGAACAACATATATATCAAAACAAAACATTTATTAAATGAAATAGTCTCTATTCTAATCGATAATGCTTTTTCCCTCTTACATTCAAGTTGTTAATGCCCTGCTTAAAGAAATCACTTGGCTTTGAAG